TAAATTGCGTACTTCCGGCGACTTAAATTGCCAACTTCCGGCGACTACCGCCACCGCCGAGAGTGGAGCGGGGCTAGACTAGATGGCTGGGACTCACAAGCAGCAGCTACCGCATCTCCTGCAGCTTCCTTCATTTTATTTGCTCGTGAGTCCCAGCCATTTAGCCACGTCCCTCGTAGCGGCGTGTGAGATACTCTCGGCGGTGGCGGAAGTCCTGTCAGGGTGTGTTTTTGGCCGCCATAATATGTGTCCGTTATGCGGAGGATAGCCATACTTTCTATTCATGGCTAAAGAGGTCCGTTTAGCTCCAATGCAAAATTACTGGGAGGGGTGGGATCAGATCTGTAAAAATGGGGGAGATATGTGCTCAAGGGTTCTGGCACCTATGTAATACCTATTGCTTCTCCGAAATGCAGCGTACATAATGAAAACTTACGTACAATGTACATAAGGAGACACCAGAAGTGCCTTTAAGTGAGTGTGTGCAGCTGTTTCCAACTGGGCTGCTGTCTGAAAGTTTGAGACCCTGAGATTACAAAACCTAATCTGGATGGCAGATCAGCGGGGCAATACCAGACACCCCTTTCAACCTCAAACGATTATTATCGTGGAACTCGTAAAGATACACGCGAGTGGTGTAACCAGCAGTTCTATGCGGGTAGCGAGGCCAAAATGTCCTTGACTAATTGACGTTCAACCACACCAAGACATCGATAAATCCGGTAACACATAGTGCTACTATATGGATAATGATCACCGGAAGACAAGTCATAGAAACCCAGCTGGGGTTATATTAGGGCCCCCTACAACACTGAAGTGGAGCTTCATAAAAACAAAACAAACAAACAAAATAATTGCTCCCCGTGACGGGACGATTCTTATTAAAATATAAATTTTCTTGAGTTTGAGATTTATCTTTTATATGCTTTCTGCAATGTATGTAATTTTTTTTTCGCTTAACTCTCATTTAATGACTAGCTGGGGTTATGTTTATATTTAATTTTCTGCTCTCGGTTTCTGTATTTTATAAGCACTCCTTTAGCAGGATCACATCACTGCTGCATTTAACGTGTCTATTTGTGAGTACGTTATGAGTTAGATTATCTTCACAGCACTCCGGACACATCCATAGGCCCTCAGATTCCCCTCTCAACCTATTCATCAACGTCGTGCGGTTAATAGTACCTGTCCTATGTTGGTAAAAAGATTTAGTGTGCGTCCGGTGTGCTTCTCATGCTTGGCTGAGTCGATCTTTACTCCCAGTTCGCGTATTCTTAGCAGTGATGTGGACACGTTGCTTTAAAAATCCCCAAAACGTCCTATCTCTCTAAGCGCAATGACAATGTCTGCGTGATCCATGGGCCGGCCATCTTTAATTAATGCAGCACCTGCCAGTCTATCAGCTCTCTCATTACTAACAACTGCATGCCCTAGGACGAATATGAAAGTAACCGCATACACAGAAGAATTATGCAACGACTCAAGCCACTGTCTGCGTAACTAGCCTGCCTCACCCGCCGGATCATGCTCAAAGAATCACCCAGCACACACACGCGAGAATAGTCTTGTGATTCCAGCCACATGAAAGCCTGTGTCACCGCCATCACCTCCATCGTCATGCTGCTGGTGGTCATGGAGAAGGCACTGCTGGCTTCCTGAACTGTTCTGCCTGAAGAGCGAGCTGTTAATGCCCACGAACTCTTATGTCCTCGTATAACGGACCCGTCTGTGAAGATCATCACATCTGGATGTGAGTACATATTACCCTATGGAACTATCAATAATTGTCTGAATTTACCATTTTCGCTAAATTGTTTGTACTCTCCCCTATATCCTGAAAATCTCCCAGATATTCAACCAGCCTCTCAGGACATTGACATTATTACTGAACCACCAAGCAAACAAGAAATTCTTAAAGCTATCCAAACTTTAAAGAACAACAAAGCACCAGGCAAAGACGAACTGCCAGCAGAACTTCTCAAAGTAGATCCCAACACAACTGCTAGCATTCTAGAACCATTGTTCAAGGATATTTGGGAAAAAGAAGTGTTGCCTGATGACTGGACTGAAGGAACAATAGTCAAAATCCCCCAAAAAGGAGACTTAACAGACTGCAATAATTGGAGGGGAATGACTCTACTCTCAGTACCAAGCAAAATATTTTGTAAAATCATCATAATGCGGCTTGAAAAAGGAGTAGATAAATACTTACGAGTGGAACAAGCAGGATTCAGAAAAGGCAGATGAACAACTGAGCACATCTTCGCCATACGTAACATTTTAGAACAATGCAACGAATGGCAGAGAAGTATTTATATTAATTTTGTGGACTTTGAGAAAGCTTTTGACAGCGTCCATAGAGACGGTCTGTGGAAAATTTTACGACATTTTGGAATTCCAGAAAAAATATTCAACATAATTGCTCTCTTCTATAAAGACTTTTCCTGCAGTATAAAAAATTACAATACATTTTTCCCAGTAACGACGGGTGTAAGACAGGGATGTGTTATGTCATCTCTCCTCTTTAACCTTTTGATTGATTGGATACTAAAGAACACAGTAGACAGGACATTAAGAGGCATACGATGGACTCCATTCACCATGCTTGAAGACCTTGATTTTGCAGATGATATAGCACTCCCATCACATAAACATGAACATATACAAGAGAAAAGTAACAGACTAAACTGCACAACAGAAATGGTGGGACTGAGAATAAATACAAAGAAAACTAAGATCATGACAAACAGTCCAAACCAACAACCAGTGACCATAAGTAACCTTCTTCTTTTGTCAAAATCTGCTTGTGCCGCTAGGCGTCGCAGTCTATCAGATGATCGGCAACCGAGCCAGGGCGCGCTCAGTCGCTTCATATGCCGTGATGTTATGAAGTCAACCATAAGTAAACAATCACTTGAAAATGTAGAACATTTTACATATCTTGGCAGTGTGGTGTCCCTACTGGGAGGGACAGAGGAAGACATACAGTCACGTCTGAACAAAGCTAGAGCTGCTTTTGGAAGGATGAGGCAAATCTGGAAATCCAACAATTACTGCAGAGGAACGAAACTCCGACTCTACAAGAGCATAATTTTGCCAGTTCTTCTTTATGGAGCGGAATGCTGGAGAATGACCAAAAAGGATGCACATAAGCTGTTCACCTTCCACCACACATGTCTACGTAGAATTATCAAAATTTTCTGGCCAGATACAATCTCAAACACTAAACTACTTCAAGCCACAAACCAAGAAGCTTTAGACAGTATGATTACCAAGAGAAGATGGAAATGGCTTGGCCACGTTATGAGAATGACTTCTGATATACCTGCCAAAACAGCTCTCACACAGACACCAGAGGGAAAGAGAAAACAGGGGCGCCCAAAAACAACATGGAGACGAACGATGGAAAGTGACCTGAGTGCGGCATCTTTGACATGGAAAACTGCACTGAAGATTGCACAGGACAGGAAAGCATGGAAAGTCCTCTCTGAAGCCTCATGTGCCACTAGGCATAACGAGAACTGATAATGATGATGACTCTCCCCTATCTTATTTAACGTACACATAGACAGAATGTCTAAAGAAGCCAGCTTTAAAGCACTCAACTCATAAAATTAGGGGAAGAATTAGATGCATACACAATATGGAAGCTACTATTTGCAGACGACCAGTGCCCGTCCTTCAGTGAAGGGATATACTGCAAAACCGCTTTTGAACACACTAAATTCAGTACTAAGAAATTATAAAAGTAAATACAAATACAAATGAGGTCAAGGGGAATTTCGATTTCGCTACATATAAGGGTTGAATGGTATTTGTCTGAGGCAAATTAAAGAATGCAAATATCTATAAAGTATATTGTTAGAAGACTGGTGAATAGATCGGGAAATAGAAACAAGATGCCAACCAGCTACTGCAATTATAAACAAACTAACGCAGTTATTAAAACATTCAAACATAAATATCACGGTCAAGAACAGATATTAAACAGCATATTCACACCAAAACTATGCTACCAGTGCCAAGCGTGGGCATTATCAAAGACTAACCTACGTAAAGTTATCACATGTGATGTACAAGGAAAGCCGCCAACTCAACCATCTGAAAAGAAGTGACAAGTGATACTACGACAGACTGTGGGAACAGCACCATTCACTAAATACTATAAGAAAGAGAAGATCTAATGGCTTGGCAATCTCACCAGAATGCAACCACATCAATTAGCATCACATGCGCTACACGTGAAAAATTAGTCACCCTAGGAGAAACGTATTGATGACATTTAACACCTTCTACATCGACCCGGTTTGACAGCATTGCCATTCATCAAGCAATAGATCGCAAACTATTCCTCCCCACGAAGCTTGACGGCAAAATTGGAAATTGTTAATAATGATGATGACTACAAGTCTCAGGGCGGTTTAGAACAGCTGGGGTCTAGAGTCTGAGGATTTATGACCAATGCTGTCACCACTGATAACAGGTTAGGATATTTGTTTTGCTACCAACAGAAGAAAAGAAAATCCATTTATTTACTGCGGATTCAAACCTCGTCCCCAAGAGTCGCTTATCGACCCCCCCCCCCTTTTTACCTTTTTAGGAACAAAAAGTTAGTTGTGTATCCAATACAGGACGTTGCAGAACCAACCCCAAGATTTTTTGGCTGTTGTGGTTTTCCTAGTCAAGTTTACGTCCAGTAGTTTGCCATTGTTTTCTGGACGTTCGGCGTCTCAATGCCACTGTCGAAACCAGCGCAAGACCCGCAGCTGGGATAAAACCCGGCACACTGGCATTACAAAGCGCGTTCGTAACACCTAAGCCACAGACGCCGACTCAGGAACACAGCAAAATAAAAATTACAGAAGTTTGTTTCGTTTCTGTGTGATTGATGTCCAGAATTTAAAGTTTTGAATTTACAATATTTTGGTGGGTTAAAAAAACAACAACCGGAACACATTACCGAAACCCGTTGTCTGACTGAAGTTGGACAAGAAGACAGCATGGGATATAATAATAAACGTCGAGGTGGGGCTTCGGGCCGAGGAAAACAAAAACGAAGAAAGCTTAATCTGCTGACGATACGGCAGAAAGGTGATTTAAGACAACTAGGAGAACAACACCCTGTCGACGATAGGTAAGACAGACTCTGTGACAGTATAAACGTGAATTGTAAGTGTGTGAAGACCAGCTGACAAAATACAATTAATAAAATTAAAATCATGTTTGTTTTGATTTGGTTTTCTAGTTTCAGCTTTAGCCTTACGCATTATGTTGATTTCTGTATTAGCATAATGATAAGCATGTATTATTCCAACGAAATCTTGTTAGCAAAGCAATGATAGGTAATCGAAATTCCGGGCTCTCCTGTCAACTACGGCCGGTAGACAACAGTAGACGGCCGGTTAGTCGGAGTTCTGTCGCCTTGCTGCAGTGCAATTACCGAGTGGAAAGGAGGGAACGAAACAAATGACATAATTACTGTGTGTTGGCGTTAGACAGCGTGCACTGCCCTGCTATAATCATACTGTTACGGTTTGGGTTAGGGAGGGTGTGAGTTACGGTTAGTGTCGCCGCATCTTGTCTTCACACAAACTCATAGTAGCAACCTAAACCTAACCCAAACCCTAACCGTATGATGACAGTAGGGCACTGCACGTTGTCTATCGCCAACACACAGTAATTATGTCACTTGCGTCGTTCCCTCTTGTCCACTCTGTAATGCCTCGCAAGAGGCGGTAATTGAACGCGGTCGCTAATTTGAGTCACAGCATGGGGTCTTCTAGGCATGTCGACCTCACTGTGTTTTTTTTATTCGTGCCTTCTCCAGTCCGTAATTGCACTGCAGCCAGTGCCAGGGGACAGAACTCTGACTAACCGGCCGTCTACTGTTGTCTACCGGCCGTAGTTGACAGGAAAGCCAAATTCCATAACTCTTACTTTCTACTTTCTCAACTTCTCACTTTTTTAAACAAACTTTTACTACAATTTAAAACAATTATCTGGTAATACTAATATGAATGATACTGGCACTAACAATAATAGTAGTATTATTATTAGGCTCTCCTCCAAACTTCTACCCGATATTATGGCGTCCATAAAATTTCCCTCTGGGTCTCAGTACTATTAAAAATATGTGAACTCCCGGCGACGAATGAATCGCGGCAAAACTAGGATTGCCTGACAATTTCAAGAGACGCAACACTGCAGACGATAATAGCGACCGTTGACACTTTCGAGCGTTTCTACAGACGATACTAGCGACCATTGACAATTTCGAGACACGCAACATTACTGACGATAACAGCGACAGGGCGGGGAGACCACGTGCGCCGACGCAGATTAGCGTCGTTGTTGTCCTCAAACTTTTCGGCATGCGCAAAATGTGGTTACACTCACCGCCGACAGTATTCCCCGCGCCGCGTGTAGCAGCGTTGATGGGGGGCTAAACTAGGTGCCTGGGACCAAATTAATTGGAGGAAGTTGCAGGAGATGCGGTAGCTGCTGCTCACGAGTCCCAGCCATCTAGTTTAGCCCCCATCCGCACTGCTCGTAGCGGCACGGGGGAATACGGTCGGCGGTGAGGCATAGTCACAGAAACAGGTACGCAATTAACATATCGCTGAGACCCTGTTAGAGCATTTGTTTCGTTATACGGAGCCGATCCTAGTTTTGCCGTTTTAACATCTTAACCTAACCTGTACAGTCTGTTGTGACAGCACTAGCCAGCCCTAAAGTTAGTAAACTCTCACGACCCCTGTCTACACTACACCGCCCTAAAAAAAGTGGTACATACAGACACTTAGTATTATTGCTAATATTAATATTTTAAACAGTTTTAGTTTTATTTGTTATCTAATATTAGAAATATTGGATAAAAGAAATGATAAAACAAAGACTGACATTTCATCATCGACAAGTGGTGACTGGGTATAACTGTAACCAACTCATTGTTGAAGTAGCAAAGTAAGTACTTCAGTCAGGCTATATTTTATATAATATGTTTTTATACTCATAATTTATAAACTATTACACTACATCTTCATAGGTCTTTGATATTCAACCCAGTGGTTTCTCCAATTAGCCTGTATATTATTATTTATAATTGTAAGCCACATTATTACCTTTTAATGGTTTAGATCACAAAGTAGTAACTAACTGTAATTTTAAAAAATATAATGAATAAATGCAGACAGTAAAAAATAGCAATCATTCGACCCAGTAATATACTTTTATATTGAGCTGTTCTAGAGTTAAATAACTGGCAATTTATGTTTTTAATGAATCCATGGGCAGCCATATATTATAAATCATTGCAATGGGACATTTGAGGCCTGACTGAAGTCTTGTCTCAAGGAGGGCTGCATCATTAGTTTTTCTGTTATGGACTGCATCATTAGTTTTTCTGTTATGGACTGTATCATTAGTTTTTCTGTTATGGACTGCGTCATTAGTTTTTCTGTTATGGACATGTGTCTTTCTATAATTCCATGAAATTCTGTGCAGTTGTTTCGATGACTATATTTCCATTGCCAATAGATGTTTTTTGTAAATGGTTGCTGATTATCTGTGTATTCCATGGGTAACCTTGTGATTGCTGAAACATTTGCACTCCTATTAGTACCATTACAGCAGTCGTCTACATTAGATTGCCCATGACTGTATCCATGTATTATTTAGTTTCCTCCAGTTCATCACAGAGCATTACTTAAAAGGTCCCAAGTAGTTAGCATCCATTGGATATTTTCTCCAGGTCATGCCTGTGTGTTGGGAAATGAGCAGGCAGATAGACTGGTCGGTTCGGCACCACTTGGTGGTGAACTGATGTATGACAAACTAAATGTTGTGAGGACCCTTTGGAAGCGAGTGAACAGTGCCGAGGCGCAGATAGATTGTTACAGTCTGAGGAGAATGGCACTGCGAGGAGTTACAAGAGGATTTGGCAGACACTTGACACTCAGGGGAAAGGCGAGACGGATATACAATCCAATCAGACAGTTACTGGTACCATCGTAATTTTAACTCTTTGCTTGCTGCTGAAGATGGGGACAGCACTTATGGGGGTGTGCTGTGGTGTCGATTCTTAATTCAACATTCATTTCATCACAAACATAGACTCCCAGCACAGTACGCAAAGTCTATTGCCTCGTTGCCTATACCTATTATAACTAACTAACCCATTCAGCTCTTTTATACAAGAAGTTTTTATCTCTATTACTATTATCACCCATTCTCTCCATGTGCCTTTTAACGACCCCAGTTACACTTTAAAAAAAGATGGGTCATGACCCCGTGGAAATTTCAAAATTTTTCCTTAAACATGCATTTTTGCACAGGCTACTTATGAGTGGTTAGCAAATTTGGTTGTCTACATTTAAACTTTTTATTTTTTTTAAAGGGGATCTGGTATGTCAAGATATGTACAGGAAAATATAAACAGAGTGAAGATTTAAATGGAATAAATTCACCAGGCCCTTAAATAAAAGACAACACCGGTTGCATGACTCATTCTGCATCCTGTAGCAATGAGATTTACAGGAAACTGATCTTAATTGGGCGTTAAAAAACCCTTTTGGTTTGCATGAAAATCCCCCTAAATGCTTTTTTTTTCCTTTTAGTTAACATATTAAAATCCTGACTTCCTTAGTCTTTGCACAGATATGAGCTTAGCTAATACCATTAAAAGTATGTCTCATAAACAGGTCACCAAAGACAAGTAAGAAAATTGACATTTTTGGGGAATAGTCAATTTTGTGGCTTCTTGGGACGAAAGTTGTACAAATTAGACCACCTAGAGATCTTTGAAAAAATATCACTAGTAATTGGAGTGACATAGTCCAAATGTTGAGTTGAATTGAGTCAAGAATTGACATCACAGCACTCTGGGTATTTCCTTGCATGCTTCGTCATAATCTTCAGCAGCCAGCACAGAGTTCCAATTCTGATGTTACTGGCCATAATCTGGTTATATGTCCATCTTGCCTTTCCTCTGAGTGTACTGAGCTGGCCAGACCCCCTGGTTACACCTAGATGCCTCATACTCTCCGGGCCATAATAATCGTCTATCTCTACTGATTCCGTTGTTACATCCCAAAGAGCCTTGTCATGTATCAATTCACCATCCAGTGGTGCAGATCCAGCCAATCTGTCTGCCTGTTCATTACCCACCATGCCGGTAGTCCAAATATAAATGCCCAACTTTTAGAGGGAAGACAAATGGCTTGTCCACTTAACCACAGAAAGTTTTAGTAAAGGACCCTTTTCCATGCCTTCATGCATATAGGGCTAACCCAATGTTTTGTAGATCAATCAGCTCATTGGTGAGTGATAGGGTCAACATCATGCCAGCTGCCTTTACTTCCCAGGACTACACCTATTATCCACTCAAGGCTGGGTCAACCAGGGAGGCAATGTAAAAAAAAAGTTTGTCTCTGTCAGCACCCGAACCCACGACCTTCTGGTCCACAGGTGAGTGTCTAGCCGCTACACCACATTGGCCCTCCTACTTTACCACAGTAACACCCAGAATTAAAATATCACCAGCAGACATGATTACATCTGTCAGTTGAAATGTTAGCAGTGTTAACATGCAAATGTTTTTATTTCAGAGACAAAGTAAAAACTTATCGCACAGTCAGCCTCGATGATAAAAAGGTTTGATTTTAACTTTCTTGATTTTATTGAATTTTATAGACACTGGATCCTGTGGTCATGGTTTCCAGATGAAGGAGAAATGTGGCTGATAGATCACAGTATATTATAGATTACTGAGTTGAAATCGCAACATAGGTTTGGACATTATTATAAGAACCATTCTCTTCCTATGATATCCCACTTTGCCCTGATCATTTAGCCAGTGGTACAAGAGCTTCAGGTCAAAAGAGGTGTCGCCAAACATTAACATTATGCAGGTAGCTAAAGAAGACTAGTAATCCAACACAGAACTGGTGTTATCAGTCGCCACATGCTAAGGGATATACTGAAGATGGGATCCGAGTGCTTATGGACTTTGTCCAATGTGTAGTGAGGATAATCTGTCGATTACCTTTCTGTTTAGCTAGTGTGTAAGGATAGTTAAAATATAAAAAAAAAAGGAAAAGATCCTGTTCATATCATTGGCTCACTAGGCACATGTTGTTAGACTCATATTTTTTATAGGCCAATTGATACCGTATGGCTGATATGGTCAATATCTTGCTATGAACCTTTACTACCAAGGACATTTCTTCTTGTCTGTTTCAGGCTGGGTTGACCAGGGAGCTCTGGTTAATTATACAAATTTGCTTTGTTGCAAAAACAAACCAAAAACCCCGGGATTGGCCAAGGCCATAAATCATGTGTTATGTCACACGTGCAAGTTTCACACTTCACATAGCAGTTGGAAATCATGAAGTGTTTAGGCTGTTAGGATGCTATGCTGGCAAATTTGTTTTTAAGAAAATTAAATCTACCCATGAGTAGATAGGGCTTACTACTTTGGGTGGAATTTTTCTAGGGAAAGTAAACCTTACAAACATGCATGCTGCAGACTGACACGCTGATTATTTAGGTACATCACTGTGTATGACACACGGGGGGAGACTCGGCGGCGAGTTTAACTTAGTGGTTTGTTCCGTTTCTCGAAATTGTCAACAGACACTAATCCTAGTTTTCCAGCGATGTGCTCGTGACCGCAAGTGCGCAATTGACACGTGACTGATGCTCGTCAGGATATTTTGCAGCTGCCATCTTTTGTGGCCGTTATTCGGAGGATAGCCATATGTGTATATATATATATATAACATGAAGTCTTAACAGCTTCCTGTGTCAGGGGGGTGGGGTGGGTAGACACCTACTTTCCCTCCTCTCCTCCCACAAGCATATCATAAAAATCGAATAATTAGGGATGTTTTCTTCAAAGAGAGTATATCTGCTTGAGCAACAAGGAACCAGCAGTCTGCATACAAATAAGCCAGATCTGTAAAATAGATGTGCATGCAAAACTGCAGGTGTGAAACATGACTAAAGTCTAGGTGCAACTTTCTGCTGATGTTTGCAGCCAGTGAGTGTCAGTTAATTTTTCTGCCATGCTTGTTTTCATTGATGTATGTATCGCTTTGTATGCTGATACAGATCTGTGGCACTTCAATAGGCTGTAAAGAATTTTCTTTTACTTTGTTCTTTATCTTTTTTTCCCTGTAAATCTTTTATATTTTAATGGGGGGGGGGGGGGGGTGATTCTTGATTTTTTAGAAGGGCTTTAGATTATTTGTAGTTGTCCATGATTCTGATCCATTTGTTTAAATTTGCTTTTTTTAAACTTGCAATTCTTTTAATAACCTCCAAAAAGATTTGGTTGTTGTTTTTGTTTGCATTCACAGTTTATTAAATAATCAGTTTGATTGCTTCAGTTATATCTATCTCTTATTCATGTTGCTGTTGACACATAAGGCATCCCAATAAACCTCCATTTATGCCGGTCTGCTGCTTTTTTTTTGTGGCCCGAAGTATCCTGTATCATTTTGCATCTTTCATTTTCCGTGCTGTGATCCTTCTCCAGGTTTGATTGACATTGTTACACTTTGTTAATTATAATAATTTATATTTCATGTAATTTGATTTGATTTATCTACAGCCAGTTGTTGAAAGCTCATCAGAAGAAAGTGAAGAGGATGTTCCAGTTATCAAGCAGCTTTTGACTGAAATAGGAGCTAAAGAGGAGGTGTCAGATGAAGAAGAAAGCAATGACGACGACTCTGATGACAGCACGCAAGATAAAACAGCCAAACCTGATGTAAATGGAGATGAAGACCTAGAAGGTGGTGACAGTGAGGAGGAGAGGCTGAAGAAGTAGGGCCTGGTGGTTCTGATGATAATGATGAAGATGAACTGTCAGAAGCTGATGACACTGAAGATGAGTCACAGACCTTGGAAGAACAGTTAACAGAGCCTGCAAAAGACAATGAGGAGCCAGTAGATTCAGGTGAAATTTCACATCTTTAGCATTTGTATTATTTGATTAATGTGAATTTATTTACCTAATGTGCTATTACAGTGGTTTGAAATTAATTCTGTTTGCATGACATGGCTATGGAAAAGTTGGAGGGGAGAAGAGGCAGAAGGAGACTGAGAGAGAAGATGCTGGACAGTTTGACATCATGGCATGGAAGATCATCTGTGTCAGATTGGACTGAAAGTACAGAAGCTCTGGATAGACATGACTACTATTGCCTCACTGCATGGATGATAAGAAGAAGAAGGCTTGCAGATAACAGGAAACCAAAAACAAAAGCAATTGTGAAAGGTTGTCTAATTTTTTTGCGGAATCTTGTTACCTTATTTTGCAGTCTTTAGAGAAGAGCCCTAGACTCCAGGATAACACTGTCTAAAGTAAAATTTTTTTTTTATTAAAAAGGTAATGGACCCGAGGGGGAGGGGGGGGGGGGGGGGGGCTAGGATTGCAGTGGAGCTTCAAGTTATATCTTTGCCTGGATTTTTTGGCCCGATTTAAGGGCTAAAAACTGCTCACCACCAAGTAGCCCTGAAAAGGACTGTTGCAGTGTTAATGCAATGACTGTGCCGCTTTCATGACTAAATGTGAAGTTGTATATTGGCCAGCTGTTAGGCCACCCAGTCACCTATGACAATAAGGACAAAAAATATTTGCCTTGATGTGGATTTAAACCCTCCTAGGCTTTTGGGCCAGAGGACGAGCAGCTAGCCACAACAATACTGGAGGTCCTCTAGTCTAAGATGGGTACCTGCAAATGTGAAGGCAGCCTGCCACCTCACACTTATAAAGTACTGATTTGTCTGTAAAATAAACAGGACCAGTACTGTATGTCCACATTATACTGAAGCACTTTCCTTACTTGCATTCAAGACAATGGACGCTTTTAGAAATCAAATTTCTCCATGGTGGTGGGGGGGGGGGGGGGGGGGGGGGGTTCAGGGGGGGGAGGGGGTGTGAAGAGCCTCTGCCCTTAAACAAGCATTATAAAAAAAAAGTGACAGATTAAGGACTTGTTGAAATCGGTTGTGTTGGGCTAAAAGGTGAAAACAACACTAATTGCTAACTGCCCGTTTAAGGGCCAATGCAGAAGTACTTAAATATTACAGAAAAATTCTTGATTACGGAGATGAAATACTATTTTAAAAGATCCGAACATAAAAGAAGAAAACAGGCTTATTAACAGCTGAATGGCTTTGGAATTGAAATATTTCGATTCTGCAATAAAATCATACTGCTGTAAATAAAAAATATACATCTTGCTTTATTTTCAGAGGAAATTACTGCAGAAACAGAAGAAGCAGAAGGAGATGAAGAAGATGAAAGTGAAGATGAAGAAAATAATGAACTGTGCTTAAAAGCATCAGGTGAGAGATTTTAGTGTTACCGTAGGCGTAACATTATGCTAATTCATTCACAAAAGTATGATCATCTCCGGTACTTCACATTGTATGTTATCTTTGGTGGAATAAGACAAACTTCAGTCAGTCAGATCAAGTGATGTCTCTTCCCATGTGGGCTTCGGACCCCATTTGGGGGTTGGAGAAACCTCACTGCTTCCCTAACATTTTGTCATCAAAGTTGACTGATTAGGGATGCACACACAAAACACTAGATCAATATCCGAAGGTGGATGAACAGGAAGAGGAAGTGTTCTCTACAGTGCAGACATGCCCCTCTCTGACCCAGCTGTCCACCTGGGCAATGGATTGGAGTCTGTTGATGATATGATTAAATGCCTGATATATGTGAAGCCCTTACCTTGGTCAAACCTAGAAATGGCAGACTGTAAGAAGAAAAAATGACATTGTTTTCATTATATCTTCATTTTGTGACATTTTTTTTAAGGATGCCAAAGTATTTTGTAAAAGAGTTTTAAGTATAGTTTTGATCTGCCCACTCTACCTACAACTTCAAAAAGAAACCTGACCTCAAGAGCAAAGTGTGCAGAGCAAGCTATGGGGAACCAGGAATGACCTGTAGCTGACATGCGAGTTCATAGAGGCATCCCACCTGATGTTTTGACTTGAGCATATGAAACCAGACACAAAGAAATATATTGAACAAAAGTGGCCTTGCCTATTTAATTGGTTTTCTTGGGAACCTATCAGAGTAACTCAAATTATTACTAATAATTTTTACTATCACCAAACAAGGACTGAAGTTGGAAACAAATGAACTGAGGGAGCGAGGTCATTCAAGAGAAACCTGAAAATGAACATTGTTGAGAAGGCCTATGGTGCTGGAATGGATTCTGTTCATGATACTGAGGTTTGCGCAGGATAAAATGGAAGGTCAGGCTGCGAGCCCAGTTTGAACATATAACAGCACAAGAGGATGATGAGTTATAATATTTACAGTAACATTTAACTTTACATGTGGCAGCTGCTGTTAAACTATTTGACACTGAATTTTATATAAATTCTTATTAAAATAATATATTGGATTCTGATATTATGTATTTTGATTGACCAATAAGTTTTGGCAAATATACAGTGTGTCAGTATAGTTTGCAGTACTAATGGAAATATAGTGATGTATAAATGTTCCTTTTGTGACATATTTTGTTTTGAATGTTTCTGCTCAGACCCGTTTACAAAACATTTTGAAGTGGAGCAAGATCTTGCACCAGTTGTGACCAACGATGCTGTGAAATGGCAGAAGAAAGAAATGAAGGTATTTGTATTAGCACTTTTGTGTTATTGATCTATTTGAGCCTGAGTGCTCATGTTATCTGTACACATATTTTTATAATTGGATGGTTAACATACTCTCAGAGAACAATCAAATCATTCTCCAGTTGATCTTGGCTTACTGAAGCAAACCAGGAAATGAATCAGCGGACAGACTTAAGAAAAATGGACCGAAGGAGAAACAACACACACATTCATTGACACTACCAGACAGCAAAACACAGAAAATACAAGGAATTATGGAAAGAAGAAACCATCAGTAAACATCCACAAGACAACTAACGCATGCATAAAATAAAAACTGGTCCCCACAGTGTGCATGTCAGACAGCTGAGCACATTCTGCAGACCTGCCCACTCTACCGACAACTTTGAAGAAACCTGGCCTCAAGAGCAAAGTGTGTAGAGCAGGCTATGAGAAACCATGAAGGATCTACTGCTAACATGCAAGTTCATAGAGGCAACCCACCTGATGGTCTGATCTGAGCATACAAAACCGAACCCAAAGAAGAAGAGAAGAAGAAAAATTCAACATTCATTGCAGAGGAACACAATGCAGTGTATAGGTAAATGATTTCGTAGAACATCAAAGAATCATATGGTTTAGTCATCTGGTCAGAATGAAGCAAAATCAGCCAGCAGCTAAAGCATACTATATGAGAAAGAGGAGCAGGCTGCAAGTTAAGATGCCGATCGAGAGAGATCAGTAGAGGGAGTAAAAGAGATACTACAGAAACGCAGTATGGCATTAGCGCAATCTATGCAACTAGCAATAGACAGGAAACTACATCTAACTTGTCTCTGCGAAATGTTACAGCATAAGCAGTAGGACAGAAGAGGAAAGACAAAGAAGAAGCAGAGAAGTACAGAATCTGGGTATATCTATTTGCGTTACATTATGAAAACAATGCAAGAGCACCTGGCTGCTACATCGACCAATACAAAATGAGTCATTAGCATAAACACACTATAAACATTTAAAGTTGGGAATCATCTTAAACACGGACTGTGTTTAAAATATTTATTTCTGAATTTTGGGCTAACAAAAAAGAGGTAATCTTGTACATAGGGGCGTTCTATACACAGAAAAATATGGTACATAGACAAAAATTACAGCGCTTTTGTGCATTCTTCTTCTTTCGTTCTCTTGAAATAAATTATCTATATCTGCAATGTTGTTTCTGGTCTGAACTTCTGTCTTTTGTAATTCACTCAGCGACCCATAAAGTTTGACTTGCACCGGTGTTTCTCTTGGCTAAAGGTTTTTGCCTTGATGTATTTGGGACACTCTTGGAGAACATGATCTGTTGTCTCAGGCTGATTCGTCGATTTTAAATTTTGTATACATGTGGCTGAAAAGTCGATTATGTCCTGTTCAAAGGCGTAGGATAAACTTTGTGCATTGAAGATGATTCTGTAATAACAGTTAACGTACTAGATAAAAGTCTTAAGCTGTAGTTCATCCGTAGAAAGGAAATAAATAAAATCATTGAGCACAAGCTATAGATCTGGACCAGAAAGCTCAGTTAAAGGGAAAAGGAAATACACACAGAAATAATGAACATACCCGTTTGACTCTAGCCATCCTGTTTTCATCACCATGAGAAGGAAGTCCACCAATGGGTATACAAAAATATGAGTCTGGCATCATACGCTCAGTACGGTGCAGAAAAGGATCCAAAGAAAAGACGAATGATTGCTCTTTTTTTAAATAATAATATTTTTGTGACTAATATTGCATTGAATATCTCCCTGACTGAATTTTTTTTTTTTTTAAATAGATTCCAGTTTTAGGACCAAGTTGGCTTCTTTATAGAGATCCATCACTTTTGCAACATCCCAGTACAGATACTGACCTCAAGAAACTCCATGTATGTGACTGAGTAAAACATTTAACATTACATTTGCTTAGTATACGTTATAGGACAGATTATATTGTTCTTAAAGTTGTCATAGATTGTTACAGTTCCTTAAAAGTGCTCACATATTATCATTTAATTTTTTCAGCTTTTGCATGCCTATTTTTCTACAGTGTAGGGATGGATTTTAAGATAAAAGAAAAGTTTGTCTGTCAGTGTGTTTGTGTTGCTGGTGGCTAAATGACATCTAAGGGCTAATGTCAATATTATGCTTGTCAATTTATTGTCCATACCAGAAATAGAAAGCTGTTTTATGGTAATATGATAAGACATGTTATTCTGTGTGGAATCCGGAACCCCATTTTTTGGGGAAGGGGAGAGAATAGATCCACTGCCTCCCCAACAAGCAGGTCATAGGAGTTGAGTAATTTGGGACTTCCTTCAAAGTCAGAGTGCATCTGCTTGAGCAGCAAGAAATAACCAGCTGCAGACAAATAAGCCAGTAAAACAGATGTACAAGCAAAAGTCCAAATGAACAAACAACCAGGACTTTTTGCCGGAGCTTACAGCCGGTGAACAAAGAGAATAAGAAACGTAGCCACAGGGTAAACAAAAATAAATTTTTTTTTTGGTTGGCATTGAAAGACCAAAAAAAAAAAAAAGAGAACTTTGTTGATATAAACATTTGTTAGAATAATTCTAAATTACTTGTAAATGTAGATTTTCTGTTGAATTTTAAATGTAGATTTTCTGTTGAATATTTGTTTGTATAGTTTTGACAGATTCTGCAAGTTATTAACATAAGTACAAATAAAACACCATCCCTTTTTAAATTGTTTCACTGTGAATATATCTTCTTCTCCACGTAGATGTTGGTATTTATGGCCTTAGATATTCTATCTATCTGATGCTTGCTTGATCAACCTTGATCTCTTTTTCATTGTGTCTGAGTGACTGTGCTCTCTGATGCACTGTCTGGTGATAGTCCTGACACATGGCCAAACCATTTGATCTGTTGTCTCTTGGTGTAGTTTAGAACTGCTTTCATCCCAGCTTGTTTTCTGATATCATAAATTCTGAAGATATGTATTGTTTCTTGTAATTATGTTAAATCTCTAAAGCTAAAACAATATAAACAGCTTGCTTCTCAATTGTCGCCAGGTGAAGCAGAAACTCTGCAGTCAAGCACTAAACACCAACAGGCAACTGGCAGGTGTCATTCCCAAACCTGGAGGTGAGTTCTACTGCGTTGAATTAGTTTTTAAATTTTAATTTGGGATTAAAAAATTAACACTTTTTTCTGTCACTGGCTATGAAAACGACCATTATAATATAGTTGTTTGTTTGTTAGCCTAATGAAAACTTTCTATTAAAAATTAATACACATCTTCAAGTATATTTTGAGATACTATTGAATTTATAGACTTGAACATTTTCAGAGTGTCAGGTTTTGTGCTCTCATATAAACATATATATATATATATATATATATATATATATGAAAAAATATTGTTTGTTGTTACAATAACAATAACTGGTTGAGAAATGAGGCATTAGAACATTGGACTTTTTGCGGATGCATTTGAGTTTATAAAGATCTACACAGGACCTCTATTTTTAACATGCTAGGTCTAGAATATAAATATTAATGTAGAAAAACTTCATAACATGAAAGAAAAAAAAACATACACAAAGAGTTCAATGCCGGTAGACTGAGACAGAACAAGAAGGCAGTGGAGAGAAAATATACAGACAGACCTGCACACACTTGAGGGATTCCAACTGGAAAGAGAAAGCTAATCTTAGAGATAATAGTCACATGATTTTAACAGCAATGAACCTCAAGGTCTTGGAAATGCTAAAGGAGAAGATTATTTTTTTTTTTTTTTTTCAGCAGTGACTTCACTGCTGATCTTTCTTTGATCACAAGTAATTCTTATTGTCTTGTGTTTTTTCCCTCTTGGATTTCTTGCATTTGTTTGTAGCTGTAATTATTTATTATTTGTATTTTTTTTCCAGCTTCATTGACCCCGTTGCAGCAGCATCTGTTCAGTGTGATGAATTCCTACCAGGACTTGTTGTATCCAAAAGAGACTGTACAGAACCTGGAGGAGCTGAGATTGGTGTACACCCTGCATGCACTGAACCATGTTTTGAAGTGAGTATAGACAAGTGCCTTGCAAAAAGGGTTATGTAATCTCTTGGGGATTATGTTGTGGGTTTGTGAAATTATTTCATTTCTTATGTGCCAGGCCAGTTAGTTGAAATCCATCGACCTCTATTATTTTCGAAGGCCTGCTACATACATTTTAATAGTCATGCCAAATGTTGAGTTAAGAATTGATATCGCAGCACCCGGGACACTTAAGTGCTCCATCTTCAACAGGTCCTGCTGAGTTACAATTCTGATAGAATAAAGACTGCTTGTGTGTCTGTCTTGTCTTTACCTTGAGTGTTGAGAATCAGCCAGATCTCCTGTTGACTCCTCACAGCACTGTTCTCCTCAGACTGTGTTGATCTGTTTGTGCCTCCAATCTGTTCACTCGCTCCCATTAGAACTGTGCCTCCAAACTGTTCACTCGCTACCATTAGAAACTGTGCCTCCAAACTGTTCACTCGCAGAAGCTCACTGTAGTTACGTGACTTACCAGGGTAACTTCAAATTGACGATAAATTCTGTCTGCTTAGAAAGGAGGGGTCTGTTGATTTTTATTGTTAAAGCTTCGGTGATTCTCAAAAGTCTCCTGTTCGGAGTGTTGGAAAGCACTGTCTGTGTCAATTATGTGTCAGGAATTAAGTAGATGACGTCCTATGGAAGAAGCGGGTTCTTTCCTCTTGACTGGTCTCGACACTCTAGAAGGATCACTGAGCTGTGTATGTAGCCATTTGGGTATGTGCTCTGCCACTCTATTTCCAAGCTGTCTCTCCGTTTGACCGATGTAAGTCAACTGGCACTTACAGTTTTGTGCTTTATTTTATGTTGATGTGACTCTGTAGTAACTCACCTGATGAGATACAGCGAAATATGCCTGGCAATAAATTGTGCAAAGTATTGTTTGTATCCGCATTATTTAAATTTATTACGTGAAAACATTATTTTGAACATATTAGAATCCCAAAACAGATTTCCCCTTATGAGTTCCAGGGCCTTGTTGTGGGTAAAACAAGAATAGATGCACTACTTTCCCCAACAAGCATGTCATAAAAGTCAACTGATTGGGGGGGTTTCCTTCGAAGTTGGAGTGCATCTGCCTGATTGACAAGAAACCAACAGTCTACAAACGAATAAGTCAGATCTGTAAAATGGATGTGCATGCAACACTCGGGTTATGGAACAAGACTAAAGTTCAGAAATGGACTCACAACCAGAACTTTCCACTGGAGTTTACAGCTGGTGATCACAAAGAAGAAGTAGACAACACAGATTGTATTCTGTAGATGAGTTTTTTGTCAGTAATATACAGACACCTTAAATAGGTTCTGTGGACCACCAAATGGGAATACGATGAAAAGATATCAATCCAGACAAGAAATAGAACAAGTCAGCTTCAGATTATTACAATCACAGATGAGAAATAAAAGTTGTGGTTAGAAAGCCTTCGTGTACACATAAGACCAAATGGACAGTATTCCACCCAACGGGTAAATGATATTAGATGATGATTAGGGAGTGAACTAATATTACTGTCTTTCACTTTAAGAAAATGTTATGCCCCTATGTAACATAGGACTTGCAGTCATCTCCTCCATTCAATTCTAGCAGTCTTGTAAATATTGTTGGCAGTCCTGCGACTTTAATCTCTCTTCATTAGTCGTGGGGTTTCTCTTGGAGATCTTTGACTGCCCGGTTCAGTGCCCGCTTGATGATTCTCTGTTTTCTTCTTCCCAGAACGTGCCCAACCATCTTCTTTCTTTTATAAATGTTGATACCAGCAGTACCCAGATATTTCTTTGATTTCTGGGCCTGTCTTGGGATTACCCCATTTAACTCTTTGAGTCCTAAGGAACGCATCATACTTTCATCGGTCCCGCCTAAAGGCCCAATGAACGCAAGATGCGCCAATTTTACATCTCTCTTGACTACCCCTTGGGCCTCTGATGCCTAATCCCCTGGGACTCAAAGAGTTAATATTCATCAGATTCCAAAAGGTGTTTGTTTTGTTTTCATTTAATTTTCGTTCCATGTCTTTAATGGTGTTCAGTTTGTGTGTACGCAAAGAAATGTTCTGTTCCTGAACATTGAATTTAAGGAGTACAATTTTGGTAACCATTTTATCACCATAGTATATGTTTTACTCATTGGATAGTGTGGACAAATATTCCTGTAAATATGACGCAGAGTCATGTATTTCTCCCCAATCAAAGACAACTTCTGTGACCATTTTAATTGCATCATCTGTTTATTTAAATGTGGCACTGATTTGATAGAAGACATCGAGATTAGATGAAATAACATGTGCATGAATGTGTGATTGAGGGATTAGGAGTGGATCTGGCAAGAAGGGACATGTGAGAGGAAGAAAACGTTGTGTGTATAATCAGTGTGCTACAGAAACAGTTACCATCTACACTGTAAGACATTTGCTGCATGAGACGGAGCATCTGTGGGTATACCCTGTGTCTTATGTCGATTTTTTTAATCAGTAATCAGGCACTGGTTTATTTATTTATGTGGTTATTTTAGTTTTTTACTGTGTGACCCAATGACATATTGTGTTTTTTTTTTCTTTTGCTGCAGAACAAGAAGTCGTGTCATTGCCCACAATACAAAGCTGAAGAACAAAAAAGCAGACACTGATGAGGAGTAAGTAGACATTTTTTTATTTGTATTGTGTTATATTAACATTTTGTAGGAAAAGAAAGACATGAATAATGCATTGCTTGCTGGTCTGGAGTTCTTTACTGTTAAGAAGAAGAAAGAGGTAAAGATGAGAGGGTTGACTTCATTGTACCAGGTTTTTAGCCCATAAGGTTCAGTCACTGTCCACAAAACAGCTAGCTCCTGCCGAGAGCACCGCACAGAGCACGACCTCCGTAGCTCCGGCAACATTCCCTAGGAATGTCTGCAAATATTGCTCTCTGTAAATATTTCCATGAAGTGAACACATGACCTCCAGAGCATGAAGCAAACAGCATTCTCTTGCCATACAGAGACAGCATTGAAAGTAGTCAACATGATCATTAGCTTGTTATCGTCATCGGAACAGGTTGGAGTTAATCAAACATATTTACATGGTTTTTATTACCTCCTCAATTTCAGTGTTGAGTATCGTGACCAAGGCTTGACAAGACCAAAGGTTCTCATTCTCTTGCCCTACAGAGACAGAGCATTAAAAGTAGTCAACATGATCATTAGCTTGTTAACGTCATCGGAACAGGTTGGTGTTAATATTCTTTCATCTTCTTCTTCGGCTTTCGTTCACGTGATTTATGTTGTCTGTATCTACTATTTTGTCTCTGGCATGATTTGTTTTAGTTAATTCTGTAGCGTTTTCATCCCTTTGTTCTTAATTGTGCCGAGGAAATGCTTTCATCTAAAGCAGTGGTCTCAAACCTTTTCCAGGTAGGCCCACACCCCCTGAGTTTTTGGCAAGATCCACATGCCACCCCTTGAGAATATTTTGCTAAACTCCCATGCCTCCTTGGTAAAACCCCCCCCCCCCCCCCCCCTCACACACACACACACACACATACACACACAACTTGACATTGACAAAATGTTATTAAAAAGAGGACAGTGGATTCCACAATAACGAAAATGGAGTATGGAGATACATTTTTGGTCAGTATTATTTTCATTATAATTAAATGCATGTGTTATGTTATCATATTAATTAGAAATTTAATGGTAGAAATACAAACTGCTCATGAAAATAAATTTTGTTTTGTTTAATATATAATTTTTAAACCTATTTGTAATTAAACTAAAACAAAATATAAGTATAATCGATCATAACGTGTACAAATGCACTCACTTTCACTATTACTTTACATCCTTCTTGTAACCTTGTGGCCATCACCCCCACCCTGCCCCGACCCTGGTTGGAGACCACTGATCTAAAGTTTTGGTTTTTGATTGGTTTTCTGTCTAATTTGTTAATTCATTTTTAAATTTATGTACATCCTTCCTGGCCCTTTATGATTCTCTTGTATTGTTTGTTGATAAAGACTTGGGTCAGAACTTAGGGTTTAGTATGTTTCCTTTAAAGTCAAAGTTCATCTGCCTGAGAGGTGAGGAACCAACAGTCTGCGTACAAATAAGCCATGGATTAGGCCATAAAAAATGGATGTGCACACAACTAGAATTTTCTGCTGGAATTTACAGCCAGTGTATGCTGAGGAGGCCTTTATTCTGGGCATGTAATTGATAGGTATTGTGCCTTCTTAGTTATTTACCACACACTAAAAAAAAAGGGAAATGAGTATAACTGAGAAATTGAATGTCTTCACAGGCCGTTGTAAGCAATAAGAAACGATTTGACAGTGAATACTCTGAGCTTGAGAACTCTCAGCTGTCAGAAAAAGGATTCAAACCTGGTGAGTTTAAATTAGAGAAACAGTTTTTTTTCAGTCTGTTAAAGAAGCACATCAGTGCATATTTTCTAGGTTTGTACTTTCTTGAATCCTCTCTGCAGAGTATTTACCCACGTAGCACCTCATGCAGACCCGCCCATGTCAGATCTTTACAGAGGCAAGGGTGCTCTTGAAATAATCTATAAAGATGAATTGGAGGACAGAGCAAAAGAATTGCAAACCAAAGCATGACAGTATAAAAAAGGCTTGGCAGGAATGAACAGATGAGACATGGTAGACTGAGAATGAGACAACTGTGAACTTATAACCCAACAGTAACAAATAGGCCTCGCTTCCCATCACAAAATTCTAGACCAACCACCCCTTAACAAGCATGTCATATATATTGACGAGTTCTTTCCTTTGAAGTGGGAATGTATCTTTCTGAGAGACATGTTTGTTTACAGATGAGCTAGATCTGTAAAATGGATGTGCTTACAAATAAGCCAGATCTGTAGAATAGATGTGCTTACAAAAAAGCCATATCTCTAAAATGGATGTGCACTCAGAACTCACATTCTGGAACAAGACTGCAGTCCAGAGGTGAAGAATGACCAGAACTTTCTGCTGGAATTTGCTGGGGAAGAAGAAGAAGAATGGGCCTCGCTGACTCATCCTTTGATGCACCGATGCAGATTTCAGAACATGTCATACAGGATTACTCAGACCTGACCAGAGAAGAAATCGGCACAGAAACGACACTGCCAGACAAATTATGAGGCACTGGTGGAGACTGCCAGCACACAATCTGGTTTGTGACTCCTCCTGGAATAGGTAATAGCATATCATATATTAATTGCTGGAGAAGAAAACTGGCATATCAGACTTAAGAGGGTGATACATGCTACAACTGGATGCTCAGCTGTCAGTATTTCCCTCTTTATGTTAGTAGTGTGAAGCACGCTTTGAATGTTATGCACAAAAATGTTTGTACTTCTGACTTTGTTGGCCTCTTTTGGCCTAAGCTGTGCGAATACACTTTGTAATGCCGGGGTGCCAGGTTCAGTCCCAGCTAGTGACAAATTGCCTTGGTACAGAGAGGTGACCGTTCAGTAGCAGGGGAAAACTACTGAACATAAAATTTGCCTAGAAAACCAAAAACAGCCCCCCAAAAATGTTGGGGTTGGTTCTGCATTGTCCTGGAAAGGATATAGAAAGATATAAACCCAAACGAAAAGTTTATAAGCGAGCTTCATAAATATATCAAACATGAACAAAATGTGAAGGATATGCAGCTAACTTTAAACTCTGACTTTGTAATAAATGCTAAAAATAATTGCCAAAATGTCTTTTTCTTAGCTGACTTCAGGAAAATATTTGAAGGGAACACAGACGATAACTTCCGTGTGGGAATGAGCGTGTCCAAGAAAAGCTTGCGGCTATACAGTAAATTCTATGAATCAGATATTATTCTGGCATCCCCTCTAGGTCTCAGGATGATCATTGGACTGGAAGGGTAGGTTCATCATATTAACATTTCCTTTACGTTTTTTTAAATGGTTTTTTTTTATTTTTAAACATTTAACATTTGTGGATTTATTGTTAGGAAACAGTCTATGCAGTTAATTTTATATTCATATGTCGACTAAAATTGGTCAGGATAGTTAAAATAACAGATGAAGATATTTTAATCATCTCGGTAAATTGACTCACCTGAGACAGACTGACAGCTTTTACAATACCATCAAGAAGTTTTTTTTATTGTTTTTAACAAAAATTATATTTATTAGTGGTTGGTTGTCTTTGAGAATGGTCTGTTGTGATGTCGAAACATCTTTCATGGTGCAACTTACATACCATTGTCTAAAAAACCACAAAATTTGTCTTTTTTCTCAACTGACTGCCATGGAAATCACCTGCATTGTGAAATGCTTTCACTAACCTCTAAGCCCTGAAGCCGTTGTATAAAAAGTAAATAAAAATACAGGACCTGTTTCCACACCCTCAGGCCTTTTAGGCATGTAGGGGTAGACCTAAATTTAAAGACCCTTTGGCACATGATAGTGGGCACTGTGGTCAGCATCACACTGGCCGCTTTTACTTCCCAGAACTTTATTGGGTATCCATTTAAGGCTGGGCTAATCTGAGAGCCATGGTCGTATTTTGACTAAAGCCTGGCTTCATAAGGACTTGAACCCTCGACCTTTGGATCTGCAGACTAGCTTAAAGCCAGACTATTAGTGAACTAGAAATATTCACACAGTTGGGATTTAAACCACCTGGTTTTTTATATTTCAGAAATTGTGTAAGCATTGATTGTATTCTGTTGATATACAACTGTAATCTTTCTTTTGGGCAGTGATCGGGAACGGGATTTTGACTTCCTGTCATCCATAGAAATGCTCATCATTGACCAGGCAGACATCTTCCTTATGCAGAACTGGGACCACTTCTTGGTGAGTTTTGAGTATACTCCCTTTGATTGTGTCACACTTTTCATTAAAAAATACTATCAGGTCTTCTGTATTTGCTTCTGTTTTGCATAATTGACTGCATTAGTTTCAAAATACTGAAATGCTCACAAATAAGGGCTTTCATTACATCATTCAAGAGCATTTCTAGGTTTAGATATATACAAATCATTAAGATTCCTTAAAAAGGTGGCATTTCAGTGCTTTTATTTATTCTTTCTTTTGTACATTATGGTAAATAAACACATTGAAACCTGCATAATTTCTAGAATTGAATCATATCTTCTTCTGAGCGTTCAATGACTGTAAACTCTAGAAGAAAGTTCTGGTTATTCATTCACTTCTGGACTTTGGTCTTGTTTCAGAACTTGAGTTTTGCAGATCTGGTTCATTTGTATGCAGACTGTTGGTTCATTACCTCTATGGCAGAAGATGCATTCTGACTTCAAAGGGAACATCCCAGTTAGTTGCCATGTATAACATGCTTCTTATGAGGCCATGTGGTGCAGGGCCTAGACGCTCACGTGGGGATCAGACAATTTGTGAATTTAGGTCCTGGCGGTAACTGACATTTTTTTAAAATGACCTTGGCTGCCAGGTCCACCATACCCATAAAGGGTACCAGGTCAAGGTGACCGGCATTATGCTGACCACATCACCCACTGTATGCCCACTGGTCTATTAAAATATAGGTCTAGCCCTATATGCCCAATATGCCTGAAGGCGTGGAAAAGGCTTCTTTTACTTTGCCTTTGCATGCTGGGAGCAGTGGACCTGTTCCATTACTCTCCCCCATAAGTCGAAGTGCCTACACAAAGAATTTTATTTTGTAAACTAGCTATGTTAGGTACGCTTGTTATCTTTTGTGGCTCTCAACATTAAGTGATTCAGTTCTAGAACAAGCAGTGGTATGTGTCTCAGACACACTAGTGTTTATTGCAGGAGTTTCTTCTGTGGGTTCTAAGGTATCATTGTAGAGAAAACAAGAATAGGCCCACTGCCTCCCCCCCCCCCTTTTCTCCCAAAAAAGCTTGGCATAAGAGTTAACCAAATGGGGCCTTCTTTAAACTCAAAGTGTATCTACCTACCTGAGAGGCACAGAACCAACAGTCTGCTCACAAATATGTCAGATCTGTGAAACAGATATGCACACAAGACTAAAGGTAGAGGTGGGCAGACAACCAAAACTTTCCACTGGTGAACGCATAGAAGAGGAAGATTGCGTGAGTTGTTCTTTTTAATCCACTTTTTGCTTAGACAGCCATTTTCCTGTTTTCTTTGTTGTATCAAAAAACAAAATAGGTTGAAAAATAGACCTGTTGTTTGGGCGCTGATAATTTTCTATTCTGGTTAATTTTATCTTGATTATATCTGTTATTGCACAAAGAGAGCTGATTCTTCTTCTTCTTCTTCACTTCCTCTTTTACCGCTGTGGGTGTCGAGGGAGATATAAGGTTCTGTTTCTGGCCCTTCTGGCTGCCTCGACCATAGGCACATCGTGCTGTTGTAGAGCTTCTCTGATGTTATCCTTCCATATTGTTCTTGGTCTACCTCTTGCTCTACGACCTTCTTCTCTTTCCATGTATGCTTTGTATGGTATGGTGTCACAAGGCATTCTCTCTAAGTGGGCAAACCAAGAGCTGATTGCCCACATAATAAGGAGACGATCTCCATTCTTTGGTTATTTCTCAAGAATGAGAAAACTACAGTACATCTGACTGTGGGAAAGGTGAAGGGGAATTAGAGGGAGGCCAAGAGAGAAGATTCTGGACAGTTTGACATCATGGTGTGGAAGGTCATCTGTGTCAGAATTGAATGAAAGTGCACGAGACAGAAGGCTAGTGTCCATTTCAAGAAACATGGAGCACATCATTCATAGTCCCTCCTCTTCAACCCTGGGATTTGGGGATACCCTACAGCAGGGCTATCCAATTGAGTTGGCTCAGGGGCAAAACTGTTCAAAAACAGGGATTGTCACGGGCCAGAGGTCTCAGCCCCAGCATTGAAAGATTGAAAATATAATACAGCTAAAAGTGATCAGTGGGCCACTTGCTAGGCCTTTGTTTTAGATTCAGATTTCTAGCTCTAAATGATATGATGCTTTGTTCAAACTTTTTAAATTCTAAGGATGACCTAAAACAGGTGGCAACCAACCACCAGACAAGTAGAGCTCTGACCTCTGCTCTATACTTTGCCCCAAGCTCAAGACAAAAGACTAACTGATGAATCCTATGTGATGTGCAATGCCATGAGAAAAAGGAGGGGGGGGGGCACGACTCTTCTCTTTTCTTTCAAAAAAATGTATAAATGGCACTTTTAATTTGTTCCACACAGCATGTTTTCAAGCACCTTCACCTGCAGCCAAAGGAATACCATAATGTTGATTTCTCCCGAGTGAGAATGTGGTCTATAAATGGATTGTGAGTGTCACCTTATAGCTTATTACCACAATAGTCCTCATTTTCTTTTGCTGGTTCCATTTACTCATCATCATATGCCATTCTAATAAGCGTAGATTGTCATGTTTTACAAGATCACCAGAATCAGGGATCATGTCAGTTGTCTTGTCTTGCCGTACCCATATGGTTAAGCCATCCTGGTGTTTACCTTGTACCTTTTCCTTGCTCTCTTTTTATCAGTCTTGCCAGACATGAAACTTTTGAGTCCACATTCCTTCTCATAATATGTCAGAAACACACTGACAGGCCACTACATCTAGTATGCAAAAGATTAGTGTTTTAAAGGGTCGCATGTAAGACGGGCCTGTATGCCCAGTTTGTGATCATTTGAAAATAAAGTTCGTTCGTTCATTCTAGTCTTTGTAATCAGTTTATCTTTCATCTGTCTTGTTGAGGACTGCCACAATATTCTTTGCAATCTGCTCAAACCCACATCTCTTCTTGGAATAAATGTCTCACATGCATATAACAACAAACTTTTTATTTAGCACAGTTGCAAAATCTGTTGACTATTCATATATTAATAAATAGTATTCGAGTTGTCAACATATGAATGAACATTGAGCTGACTCAGTGTCTCAGTTTATTACAATTCCCTGATCTTTCTCTCACAGGCTTTTTGTTTGTTTTCATAAACAGAAATCAACAGTAAATATTTTTAATCATCTTGTAAACATTGCTTATACATTCCCTGTGTTGGTTTCAGTGTTTCTTTATAGGCGAAAAAGTATAGACCCACTACCACCCTCTCCATTGCCAATATTAGTTTTGCCCCAGTATATGGCACATTATTTTCAAAGCCCCATCTGGCTGTTGTCGTGGGCCCTAATATAACCTAATGGGTTTCTGGGACTTGTTTCAGAGTGATCCTCATCCGAATGGTGACACTTTGTGTCGCCTGGTGTAGATTGCTTATTGTGCGGTCTCGGCAATAGACTCTGAAAGCATGCTGAGAACGGCGAAGACAAGGATGCTCGAGCAGAGTGGCAAGCTTCACTGGGAAGGTCATGGGTAGTGAGCATACTTTGGATATTTTCTTCAGGCTATGCCGGCATTGTGAGGAATAAACAGGCAGACAGATTGGCTTGATCTGGACCACTGGGTGCTGAATTGATACATGACTAGTCAGATCTGGGTCAAGGCCCTATGGGAACAAGTCACGAAGAGAAACCAGATTATTATAGCCTGGAGAGAATTATGCACTTTGGTTCAACCAGGGTCTGGCCAGCTCTCTACACTCAAAGTAAAGGCAAGATGGACATATAACCAGATAACAAGCAGTGCTGACTGCTGAAGATGAGGACAGAGCGCAGCTGAGAATGCCCCAAGTGCTGTGATGTTAGTTCTTGACTTAGCTCGGCTCAACTGTGCGGTCTTAGTGGGGTTGAATATCGCTCACCCCCACCCCTCTTCCCACCAGTAGGCATGTCGTAAGAGGCAGCTAATTAGGGGTGTTTCCTTCGATGTCAAAGTGCCCTTGATTGAGAGGCAAAAAACCATAAGCACATACAGAAAAAAGCCAAATCTCTAAAAATGGATGGCCATGCCATGCTGAACTCAAGTTCTGGAACAAGATTAATGTCCACAAGTGGATGAACAACCAGAACTTGCCCTTGAAATTTACAGCGGGGGAATGTGAAGAAGAAGAAGCTTATGTATTTTTAACAGTATATGACCATTCAGAGAAAAGAGTTTTGATCAGTTGTGTGAAAACCATCACATCATTTCATAATTAATGTTAGTCAGTTTTGGATTCGCCTAGTTAACAACCTGTAAATACTTACTTTTCAGGAGCAAACATTATCGACAGACACTGATTTTCAGTTCTGTTGTCCTTCCAGAAATTGTGACCATTTTCAACAAACACTGTCACAGTATCCTTCAAACATCTGGTAAACTGAATGAAGTCAGAGTTAAAATAAATTAGTATTTATATTAGCTGCATATGAGAGTTGCCCTAGTGTGGCAGGTACCGACAGAGCCAGACTTTTTCAGAAATGACGTTGGCTGCCAGTTCAGCCCAGCCTCAAATGGGTACCAGCTACATTCTTGGGAAGTAAAGGCGGACAGCGTGATGTTGACCACATCATCTCCGAGTGCAGTTTGATCTATAAAATCTAGCCCTATGTGCCCAATACACACGAGGGTATGGAAAAGGGTCTTAAAGGTTACTTATTGGCTGTTTATAGAAATCATAGTCATTTATAATTTACCACACTTAAGAAAGCTACCATGGCAGGAAAAGTTAAAGGTACCAAAAAAGTGGGAGGATAATAATAAGAGATGTCCAAACAGCCTTTGAGAGAGTTTACAGGCAGGTCAAAAGACAGAAAGTGATGAAGATCCAGTGAACAAATCAAACCAGTGAAAAGTAGAACCAGTCAGCTTCACATTATCTCAAACACAAATCACAAGTAAATGTTCTGGCTTGAGAGCCTTCATCGGCACATTACATTGATATACTATACCGCAAACAAGAATCCCCCCCCCCCCCAAATGTTATCTGGAGTGGATCCAAGAGGAATCACATATCTAAAAGAAAAGAAAATCACACAAAGACATCTTGTTTAACAAGAAAGAGTACTGACATTTGACAAACTACATTTCTCTTGATTGAATCAATTTAATGTTTTGTAAGCTTTTGTTTTATGCCATAGTTTTTAAGTTAAATAAACTGATTGCTAGAATAATAAAACATCAAAATGTTATAGTTAAGCCTTAGTAAAGATGATCTCATTAATTAGCTGTTACAAGAACAAACGACATGAAGACATGTATATTGAAAGTAATTTTACCAAAAAGCATTTAACTTAACCATTGTTAGACTATGGAGGCAAGTTGTTTGTGCAAAGAGCAGAGAAACTGGGAACTATCAGATCAAGTGTTTCTGATGCACCACAGGTAAGAAAATTTGTAAACGTAAACCCATTTGCCCTATAAATTCTTAGGGGAAAAGGTCAGAACCTTGGAATCACCCCCCCCCCCCACCCCGGAACAAAACAACCCCATTTTACTCAGACCGCAAAAATTTATATAATGTTTAAATAATCTATCTGAAATATATGAAGAGGAATAGGAAATGAAATGAGTGAATTTACAGAGATTCACTCTGTAAATATCATACCAGTAGGTTGATAACATAGACAGGACAGTCATTTATATTTGAAGGAGTCACCAGAAGATCTGGCTGATGCTTAACACTTAGGGCAGGGACAAGACAGACATAGAATCAGACTGATACCATCAGAATTGGAACTCCCCGCTGGCTGCTGAAGATTAAAGACAGAGCACAATTGGGAATGTTCCAAGGGCTATGATTTAGGTTTATCAAAACTCTTATATCTGAAATGACTCAGTCAGTCAGATGCTGTCTCCACAGTGAAGGTTGGTTGCAGTGGATCCCCAATATTCTAACTTATCTTGGTTGGGGTAGTGCACTGTCTTAGACAACCGTTTGTCCATCTTTTGATGGTATCCTCTCTCTTGTATCGCTGTTCACCTCTTGCTTTCTCACCTTAAACTTTTCCTTCTGGTATTGTTTTTATAAGATTTTTATATTTTTTAATGTAGCTTAAATATTTCTTGTCTTTTTACTTTTTTTCAGCAACTTTCTTTTCATTCGTAGACTTTCTAGATCTTCTGTATTTGCTTTTGTTTTCATAAAATACAACCTGTTCTTTTGTCTGTTCACTAAAATAAATAGTTTAATTTTGTAGCTTGTTCACTGTCCAGATTCTGCACTATCCAGTTGGGTTGAATAGATATAACATCCGACTGTGCTCATTTTTTGTGTGTGGTGTTTATCTCTGTAGATGCCAATAATTTATACAGCTTCTAACATGACCAGAGAATGTAGATTGTATCCTTCTGATGTGGGTGATCATTTCTCTTTGTGTATTAACGTCTTTCAAGAAACTTGTGTGCACGGAGACATTGGGTTATAGTTGGGGGTTTCCATGGCAAAATAGTCAAGCCCTTTGCCCCGTGCTCTGAACGTTGGGGGTTCAGTTCATGGCTGCGGTATTCAGTTTGTAAGAGCAGTTGTTACAAAGATCACTGTGGGCCATCGCCGGAACTACAGAGCTTGTATTTTGTACAACTTCTTAGCAGGCGGCTAGCCATTCTACGAGAAGAGACCCCACCATAAGAAATAAAACCGATATATTTTTGTGTGGGTTCCCGGGTCTCATTGTGGAGAAAATAAGAATACACCCTTTGCCTCCGCAACAAGCATGTCATAAAAGTGAACTAATTGGGGCTTTCTTTAAAGTCGGATTGCATCTGCCTGATAAGCAAGGAACCAACAGTCTGCATACAAATAAGCAAGATCTGTAAAACAGATGCATACACAAAACTAAGGCCCTGGAACAGGGCCAGAGTCCAGAAATGGACAAACAACCAGGTCGTTCTTCTGGGGTTTACAGCTGGTGAACACAAACAACAAAACCCATAGCAGGGCAATCGATTTTCCTGACTTTTTAACTTCATTTGATTGTGATTAATTTTCTGCAGTAGTGAAATCTGAAAATCCCAACTTTATTTACATATTGTATCTCCAGATTTTTCATCGAGTTGCTTGCGATGCTCCAAGTAGCCTGTCACAGAGGAACGCAAAGTTTGAGTATTTGAAGAAAAAGGTACGTTTTTTTTAATAGAAGCCAGTTTTGTGTTGCAGTTAGTACAGCTTGTTACCATGGCTGGTCCAAGTTCAATGCCAAAAGTTGTTTACTTATTCATGGCCATAACCTAGATTTGCTGTTATCGCAGTTATGCTGGATTATCTTCTCTTGACAGCCCAGTGACATTCATAAGGTGGTGGTGATTGAAGTAATTAGCACAGGGATTGGCTGATAGGTTTGGAGGTGGCTGTAGTGGAGCTTTCCCTGATATTGAAAAGATAAGACATTCAGTGAGGCTTTTGTTTATTATATATTATATTTTTTCAATATGCAGTTTATCTGTGTTTGTGTGTGTAGATATATATATAAAACTAGATATGGTACAATTTAATAACAATTTTTAATAGCTTTTTATGCATATGTAGATTTGGGTGTATAACTAATTACATGTGATGTCATTTTTAAACAAAAATTAGCGTATGTATAGATTTATGTGTAAAGGTGAAAAAAAAAAGTAAGGTCAGGATATGTGAACTACTGTCGTTAGACATGGTTATGAACCATAAGTGCTCCTTCACCAGTACGGACAGCTGATAAGAAACTGTCCGCCTTTGTCGGTTTAAAACACCGGCCGTGGGCTGCAGCGAGTTGCAGCTGGATTTGAAAGCGAGTCTCCTATCGACTGCGCTAAAGTAAACCCTCAAAGATTTATGTGTACTGTATTGTATCTGTCTTATGTATGATATCATTTATACATAACTATTTATATATTATATCATTTGTAAACAGTTTATGAAAGTTATGTATATAAAGATTTATGTGTATTGCTATTTAACTATCTTATATAAGATATATTACAAAATTGCTATCTGTGTGTACTTTATATACATTGCAGTTTATCTAGCTTATGTATGTTCACATTTTGTTTGTATTTTAGATTATTCCCTACCACACGTCTGCTGGAATGAAGCAGACATTGATATACTGCAACTACTACAGTTTTGTTCATCTCCGCAACTACTTCAGGGAGTCAGAAACTGACTTTCTCTTCATTAATGAGTAAGTGATCTGTATTGTGAAGATTCTGTTGTTGAATTTTAATGTTTGACTAACCCGTTAAAGAGTAAGTATTTCATAGTAAGTATATCATAGTATTTTTTTAATTCTTCATCAATATCCAGTCTTCTTATTCTTTAACGGCTGTAAACTCTGGTGGAAAGTTCTGGTTGTTCATCCACTTGTTGACTTTGGTCTTGCTTGTTCCAGAACTTGAGTTTTGCATTCGTATTAATTTTACAGTTGTGGCTTAATTATATGCAAACTATTGGTTCTTATCTTTCAGGCAGTTGCACATTGACTATGAAGGAACTCCTAATTAGTTGCTTTTTGTGACATGCTTGTTAAGGGAAAAGGGGGGGGGGGGTATCAATACCCATTAAGCTAGACTGTCGAGGGGGAAACCTCATGTGGTAGCAAAAGGAAGGGGGATGGTGATGGATAAGATGTTCCGAGTTGTCTCAGTACTGGCCATTAAATATGCCAGATTCTCAGTAGCTTTGATATTCCTTGCTGCAGTTGTAGAATCTTCTGTTCCAGCTATTTGGGGGCATACGCATTTGTAATGTGTTGATGAGCTTTAGTTCTAGATGTTCCAAAATGTATATCCCTGAAGGATGATGTTGTATTTTGTGTGTGTTATAGGTACGACACAGAAAAGCATGTGCGCAATGCCCGCATTCACTTTAGGAAGCGTCATCCACACTTTATGCTGTACACAGAAAGACTGCATTTTCACTACAGGTGAGTCATTAGAGCGGTGGAGACTACATTAGAAGTGACTTATGCTATATTAGAAGTTAGCTCAAACTACTTTAGAAGTGACTGAGACTATAGCAGGCATGACTCTGACCAACTGCATTAGAAGTGACTGCGACTACATTAGAAGTAACTCTGTTAGATTACATTAAAAAGAAATTCATACTACTATAAAAGTGATTCAGACTACATTAGAAGTAATTCAGACTACATTAGAAATGATGACTAATGTAGAAGCGACTCTGACAGACTACATTGGAAGCGGCTCATACAACATTAGGAGTGATCATACTACATTTGAAGTGACTCATTTCACATTAGAAGTAACTTATACCACATTAGAAGTGACTCATACTAATTAGAAGTGACTTAAACTACATTATAACTGACTCAGAATACACTGATAATGACTCGGACAGGATTAGAACTCACTCGGAATAATACACTGATAATGACTCAGACAGGATTAGAACTCACTCGGAATACACTGATAATGACTCAGACAGGATTAGAACTCACTCAGAATACACTGAAAATGACTCAGACAACATTAGAATTCACTCAGTAACAATAGAAGTGACTCAGACAACAATAGAAGTGTCTCAGACAACAATAGAAGTGTCTCTAATTATGTTAGAAGGGACTCATGCTACACTAGGACTGAATCAGACAGACCGCATACACATTTTTCCTAGCTTTTTTTTCTATAGCCAGCTTGATCATTACAACACTATTAAAATTTTCATTTAACAATTAACAATACTTGTCAGATGATTTTTCAGAACTAAGCCTTTCACTTCACATATAATTTTTTTTTTTCAGCTCTCAAAAAATACTTCTACCTCACATTTTTTGCATGCATCTGTTTTTAGCTCTTTTGTCCCAGAAATACAATTTGAAAAAAAATGGGGGGGGGGGGGGGGGTGGGTGAAAAAGCCAGAGTATCCAGAAAAAAATCTAAAAAAAAAAAGTTTTACAAGGGTCAATAATGGAGAATAATAATAATAAAACAAATTAATTGTCTGTGTCTACAAATATGTGAAGCACTATGTATAGAGTACTCTACAAACATGAACCGAATGAAGCATTCAATTAAATACATGCCCTGGGTCTAAAAAATAAGTATTGGGTAATTCGTACCTAGACATCTCTGATCTTGTTGGAATTCTAATGCTGATGCAACAGGCAAGTTAGTATGTCAGAATGGCTCTTACAAAACCATTTTGTTCACAAGTATAAACCTCCTAAATAATATTTTAAATAAACATTTTCATATCATGTCCTCATAAGTGCTGTGCAGGTGTAAATACAACCAGTAGCATTAACTAGGCTCTCTGGGACAAGTCACTGCAAGCCGTGCTGGGTTAGCGGCATTTGCGAGATTGATTCACCAACAGAAATGCCAGGTTTCGCTGCTTTTTGGGGCAAAAGATTAAGTAATTTAAAAAAAAAAAAAAACCCAACCTAATCTGTATTGTATACATTATTTATACTTGTTAAATAACTACAAAAGAAATCTATAGTTTTTTTGAAAATTCAGATTCAGGTTGAGGGGGATTCACCACATTGTGTGGTTTGATCTGCCACAGTACCCACACTTCTACCCGGAGCTGGTCAACTTGATGGAGACCACACATCATGCTTGTACATCTACAGTCCTCTTCACAAGGTATCTTCTGTTTTCCTAGCTTTTTCTTTGACCAGCTTATTGCAGCACTGTTATGTTAAAGCTATACTGTGTTTTTAATACATTAACATTAATTTTTAAATGATTTTTTTTTTAAAGAATGAATTGTACATCTTGTTTATCCACTGTCCTCTTCACTAAGTATTTTGGCTGAAGACTGTCTCTTTCCTAGTGCATGATAAGTTTTGTAATTCTAATACTAGTTTTGTTGCTTGTCCACTGTGTTTTGATTTTGTCAGTGAGGTGCAGACCATTTAGAAAGAAGTGGCAAACTACTAAACACAAATTTACCTAGTAAAATCACAAACTGTCAAACAATTATGTGGTTGGTTCTGCAATAACCTGTAAAAGATATGTAATGTAACCTTTCTTTGTTGCTTGCATATAAATCCATATGGTCTGCAGTCTTCCCCATTAGATCATACATGAAGGATCTCATCATACTGCACAGAATTCATGGCACCCACAAGGATTTCATTACATGGATGCAAGATATTCTATAAATATGTTTGTGGTGTGTAGACTGTCTTCTTTTAAATGTTAACAGGATGGTAGATGTAATGTCTCCTTTTTAAAATTTTTTTAGCATAGATCTGTTTTTAAATGTGCGTATTTTCATGTAATTTGTTTTTGCTATTATCTAAGAAAAACCAGGTATTTATTTTGTTGAAATGACTCAGTATTGAAACAGAAAAAGTATTTCATTTGATTGACAGCTGTAGAAACATGGATTACCTTTGAAATAGAGGACAACCAGGAAGGTTAACCCAGTCAGTAAATAACTAAATACAATCATGGACATGTTGGCCGAAAGGTGCAAAATACATTGAGGTAGTAGAAACTCCAAGCACAAGAAGCTTCCGATCGTCTTAACAAGCTCTCCTGAATGTTTTTGCCTGTTTGCCTTTCTCACACTCTGGGGCATTGGCCCACCCAGGTCGCAACTTCTGGGCGTCATTTTCCTTTTGTGCAACTGAATCTTAGCTAATATAAAACATAGTTTATTCACACTGATGACACTTCTCCTTCCCCAACTCTACAGTAGTCACGCTGCCCCAGTAAAGGTGAACTGAATGCACTCTATGTCTTATCGCCATTTCGACTATGTCACCTTGGCCGGGAGTGATTTAGCCTCTCTCCATCTGTCAAAAAACGTCCATTGCCACCTTAGCTGGTTTATTGTACCCCGCAGCATGTCACTCACGCCATTTGGCATCTTTGTGCCCTGTTGCCCACTCCTGTCAGTACCCATGGGTACTTTGTGGGTCACATTGCTATGATGAATCAGTGCTTTTTCCTCATCTCTAGCTGTAGGTGATTCTTTTTATGCCTTCCATTCCATTGATGGCAGTTAGGATTTTGGCTCACAGTACCCTGTTATCATAAGGCATGATTTGATTACACTGGCTGACTTTAGACGACAGATAGGTTTATCACTCGCTACTTTAGATGGTGAGAGCCTGCCTTTATGTTCTGCTGATAGCGACCCATTCCAGCCTGCTGAGATCAACTGGACACTTACTATTGCTCCTCAGCCAGCACCAGACTTTCTGTGTTGCCTCACCCATTTTTGGTGTCTGTACTCTCACTTGATCACCTAGCCTAAGTTATTTTAATGCATCAAATACTGAGTTGGACACCTGCCTCTGTGCACCTACAGTGATGATGAAGTCATATTACCTACCACGTCTCACTCCTCAAACTGGTGACCAGATCAGATTACATCTTGTCTTGTATAAGTGTTCTTCAACCTCATAGGGAACAGTGAGTTATGTCAGTTCTAGCTGATGAGCAGTTGAGAAGTGAAGTAAAACATCTGGCTTCACTTTGAACTAATTCAGAGCAGCTGTTATAGCTCTTCAGGTGAACTGCTAGCTGCTGGTCATGCATACTCAAAGATGGACTGAAGGCTTGCAGCGTTAGTTGTTACCAACTAATTTCTGTCAGCTTTCAGAAACTACATGAAATGGACATTTGTAGTGGCTTATCTATTCATCCTTTTCCTCACCTTGTTCACAGTTACGGCAGCTTGGTAGGGACCTTGCTGTACACCCTGAATCACCTTTGGCACAGGGATTTCTTGCATGTAGATGGACAGTTTGTGCTCCAGTGTCTGCTTCACTCTGCACAGGGAACAAGAGGTCCCCTTCAGTTTTGGCCAAATTGGCAGCAGATGGTAGGCAGGACATCAACACGAAATCTGCTCAGGAAGCTCAGCCCCAGGGGTGCAGTTTGTCACATCTTGCTCTAGGAAAGGGACCTCTGACCAGTCCCTTTTTATGCCACCCATTGGTCCTCTTGGAGCTGTTGTACTGCCCTTTAGACTTATCTTGTGTCCCAGATCATTGTCCAAAAGATGCAACATGTATTGGTCAAAAGACATATACATCACAAATTTACATTAAACAGACACAATACAAGTATTGTCCAGCAAAAACAAAATGTATTGGGCAAATGCAGAAAAAGGAGGAAATCTTGAACAGGTTTTATGGTGTGAGTTTGAGATTCAGTGTACCCATGATTATTAACTTTGGGATTATCTTTGTTTCAGATATGATGCCCAGAAGCTGACAGAGATTGTAGGCTCTAAACGGACAGCTCATATGCTTGCTTCCGAGAAGTCAGTCAACATGATAACAGTGTCTTAACTTATTGTTTTTCATCACATGCTCATCGATTTGCATGGTTAGTGTTTTAGTTATCTCTTGGTGTCCCATCACGTGCCAAGTGATATTCATATTTTGTGACAACAGGTCTTAGCAGATTGCCTCTTAAGACATGCTAACACAAACTATGACTAGAGAGCTGAATGGAGAGAATGAAAAAACACACACAAATACAACCAAAAGTTGCTGCCCGTGTGGGTTTCAGGGCCCCATTGTGGGACGGAATTGACCCACTGCCTCCCTAACAAGCATGTTGTAAGAATTGACTAATTATGGCGGGTTTTCTTTGAAGTTGGAGTGCATTTGCTTGAGAGGCAGGGAGCCAACAGTCTCTATACAAATAAGCCACGTCTTTCAAATGGATGTGCACACAAAACTCGAGTTCTAGAACATGACTAAAGTACAGACATTGATAAACAACTAGAGTTTACAGCTTATGAACAGTAGAAAAAGACAACAGCCAAATGTCTTTATCAATGAAATGTTCATTGTATGTGCATGTACCTTCTCCATTCCCTTATTTGAACTTTTTAGTCACTATTTTATGTTCAGTACTTTTTTTTATATCAGCTAAGGAATATTATGGCTAAGAAGTCTTCATCAGCGCATGATATGAATTAATAGTGTTTCATTTACAGACAGAAATATACAAAAATCACTTAACTGGGATCTCTTCTGGGGTCTGTCTGGTATCAGCTAGACTGCACTTATTCCTGTTTACAAGTTGCACTTATTCCTGTTTACAAGTTGCACTTATTCCTATTTACAAGTGTGGCAGTGTCTAGAGTGATGATTAACTCATTAACTGCTAGGCCAAACGCTTTCCATGGCAGAATATACACTGTTTCCGTAAAATCAAAAGTGCACCATGACGGACACAGTGTATTTTTTTGTTCATAAACGTTTTACCTGTAATGTCTGATGTTACATATTTTTTGGTTGCCACAGTTGTTTTAAAGTGTGTTTGGGATCTAAAATTCTTTCGAAAAAGGAATGGAGGAATTCATGGAGAGATGATTCTTGACAGCATTTCCTCATGGCCTTTAAATAATTTTTTTAGCAAGGGATTTATGTTCTTGAGATAACACAAAGGAAATATGTATGGTTGTCAGTAAACTTTGGCAAGGCACTTGATGCTGGTTATACAGCTACTTGAAGTTTGGCCAGAATTGAACTGATATAGTACTACATTCATGTAAACACACTGCCTCAGTGTTTAGTGCATGGTTTGTAAATTTATTTGCATTATTGTAGTCAGAGAAGGATGTCTAAGTGTTACACATGCACACACACACACATATATCTGTTTGAGGTTTCAATCAATGGATCATCAATGGGTAATAGCTGTTAAGTGCTCCTTTCTACTTCTAACTCAAGTCTGAGTCCGAAGTAGCTCAGCACAGTGCCCAGGTTCTGTTGCACCGGCGAGGATCATGAAATACTTTAGGTAGATTTTTAACTCCAAAATATGCGCGGACAGCGCCGTTAGGCTACTGCCAAGGGATTTTTTTTAACATGCACAACAGTGCACACAGGTGACCGATCTCACTACCCAAAGACCAGGGGAAATACTTAAAGTCTAAGTCCACATAAAAAAAATCCCCAGCCCTTACCAGGGATTGAACTTGGAACCTCTAGCACTCGAGGCGGACACCATACATATACCTTTGTTTATAGTTTTTTAAAAAAAGGCAAAAACTCGCAGTTTGATTCATCTTACAAAAATCTCTGACCAGACAAATGGCTATGATTGGAATTAATGATAATTCATGTCAAATTGTTTTAACAATTTTTTTTTTTTTAATCCTGTAAAAATTAAAACATTTATGATAGGCGAGGCCTGTGTGTAAATAGATGTTTGAGGGCAGATGGTTATTGGTGTGTTTGAGGATTATGGATGTTAACATGTAAATGTTTAAAGTTGACAAGTGGCGACAAACTGATGAATCTGTATTTGAAGTTGGTGTGTTTGAGGCTTACGGGTGATAGTATGTTTGAGCCTGGCAGAACTCTTGTACATTAAAAAAAATGATTTTTGCTTGTTTTGATATAATGAAATGCAATACATTATAAATGAAATTATCACAGCTCCTGCTTTTATAAGCTTTTATTAAGTTTAATTTTATTTGTGTTTGTCTGGTACAATTTTTGTATTCAGTATGTTAAAATTTATTGTAACATAGGTAAAGAAACATTTTCACACTCTATAGACGCACTGGGTGTGTGGCGCTAGCCCTTTTATAGATCAGTTGGCACACTTTAGGTGATATGGTCAATGTCTTCACTTTCCAGGGACTGTACCTAGTATCGATTTTAGACTGGATCAACCTGGAAATAAGGTCATGTGCGAAATAAAACAAATATGTTAATTTATATCACTATTATGAAAGTAATAGTAGTCAGTCCTATCTGTGTAAACACTGAAGATAGAGAGCTTATACCAAGCCTGGCATCCAGTGTTGCCACTTTCTTTTGAAAAAAACCCATCCAAAACGGAGTCAAAAAATATCTCAAAACATCTAAATATGCGTGGAAAACATTAAGAAAAAACAATCCAAATTGGAAAGAGTCACAAATTATATAGCAGTTGATATGAACTTACCCCCTATAGACAATCATGTCCTAATCTTCACTGAAAAGTCTGCCTTACAAGATCCACAGGATAAACTTAGCTTGGGATGATAAAGTTGAAGCTTCAGAATCCAAAATGAACTCTGGGTAACTGCGTTAGCTGTGTCCCCCCAATTTCTTTATTAATTCCCCCCAATCCAGGAAAGCCTTGATAAGTGGGGGGAACACAGGCCCCCCTTTTCCTTACCTCTGTGATCCAAGGGCTGAAAGTTATACTGTCAAGATAGCATTTTCTAAAGATGTTTCCAATAATTTCAATACTGATTTCCCGTGTAGGGTTAGCTTTGATAAACTTACCTCCCAAATGAAAAAACCAAATTTCTACCATCTAAGCCGTCAAAAAACCATCTAACTTGCAATAAAAAAACACCCTAAGTAACTGAATTTAAAACCATCCGAAGATGCCAACTCGGCCTGGCAATCCCCCTAAAACCTTGTGGGCCCCAACAGCTCCAGGAAATGAAATGCAACCCATGGGGAACACTTTTCCCTTGATTAAGTTTATTGGGAGGGCAGAACGCTAGGCCCCCCCTTAAGCCCCCCTTGTTGTAACCAGCTGGTGCCCAAAGAAAGCTCTGACAAGTGGGACCACACAGAAGCCCTACGCAGACTTTTTCGGCAAGCTTCTGTAGCCCCTGTATTCTAAACATGTTATTAACTTTATGTGGATGTTAACAAAGCAAGCTTGAGTGGATTGTTCTACATGAGTATCACATGGTCTCTACAGTACTGCCCA